TCAGAACATCCCGCCCGCGCCAAAAAATGAAAATGTAAATTTATAACATTTTCACTAGAACGAAAATGACGCAGCAAAACAAAAACACGTCATTTTCGCAGCGCGGCCTACTTCGATCCGCCCGGAAGCTTTACACGAAATTGCTCACCAAATCGTGTTGCATCGTGATGGATGACGAAACTTACGTCAAGGCCGACTTCCGTCAACTTCCTGGGCAAGAATATTTCGTTGCCAAGTCTAAGTTCGATGTTCCGAAGAATGTTCGAAACAAGAACTTATCGAAACTTGCAAAGAAACTCCTGATCTGGCAGGCGATTTGCGGATGTGGCGCTCCCTTCATCACTTCCAGAACAATCAACGGTGCAATTTACACGGAAGAGTGCCATTTTTTTCCCTTGATTTGTTTTCCGTCGATCTTGTTTTCCGTGCGGAGCACCAATGCTACCGACGCCAGGGAGGCAGCTCCCACACTTGGACCTTACCTATCGACCCATCAACTCATGAACCCAGGCCTGCTGGGGTGAGAGGTAATCACGCTTACCACTACACCACCAGCACCGCTAGTAAGAGTGCCTTAAGAAGTGTGTGGGGTCGTGATTATTATTTGACAGTTCGCATGATTGCAGCTGTAATCCTCTGCTTATTTACATTTGGTCCCACCCTATATATACCGTAGCCATGCTACACAGCCCTACTCAACTCTATACAACTTGTGCCTTGCCCGCCTCGCTGTTCGCCCAACCCCGCATCCGCTCACTTGACCGCGCAGCACTGAGCTCCGGCCCCCTTTCGTATCTTGGCAGCTGTGAAGGTAAGACGTGCGTCCCGTCGTGAAGGGGAAAACCTAGGGCAAAATGGCTGGTCTCCGACAGCGTAAATTGCACATTGGCGATCCTACCAGGCTGCTGAATATTCAGCAGAAAAGAATTAATTTGATTTAATCATTTTTATTGTCGGAAATCAGCCATTCTGTTGTAATTGTGTTCACTGGAAATTTGTTTTTGTGAGTGATTTTTTTTTTCAATGGTCGAAAAGTGAAATTTATCAACGCTACAGAAGAAGGGAAAACGGTCTAGTTTACGGAAGAATCGATTTCGCTATTTTCCTGCTGTGACGAAAAAGTGATGAAAGAAGCGTGTTTGAGCCTCAAAATAGGTGAAGTGCGTACTTGCAGAACCGAAGCATGATAATGGAGCTTGTGTTTTTTTTTCGATTTTTCTCGGTTGCTTTTCCCTTCGAGATTAACAGTACTCTAAAAATCGCGCGAATCAACCTAAAGTGATGTTTGCACATATGTAACTACCGGTAGTGGCTAAACGGTGACTTGGCAGCGGATCGACCGCGATGGGCTACTTTAGTAGCAAATTAAGTTTTCGGTAGCGGATCGGGACGATCGCGATTAATATTTTTGGAAGGATTAATTGGAAAGCGGATCGGGACGACCGCGTAATATGAATTTGGTAGCGGATCGAGACGACCGCGCAAGGAAAATATGGTAGCGGATCGAGACGACCGCGCGGAAAATATGGTTGTGATTCAGACAATCGGATTTTTGTGGCAGTTACATTTCCCCATTGGAACCAAAGCATATGCAGAGTTTAAACATTGCATTGAATCAGAATTTTACAATCTTCCCAAAACTTTTTCTTACAGATTAACGTGTGAATCATTAGCGAAGATTGTATCAATCAAAATGTCTGGAGGAAAATACGTACGCGCTCCCGGTTATCAAAGTGATCTGGAAGAGATCGACGAGGATATCGATGATATGTTGGCCTACGAGTCAGATAGCGAGGGACAGGAAGGAAAGCAATTGGATACGGATGGATATGAGAATGGCGAAGATAGTTCTTGCTCCGAGGAAGCTAGCGATGTTGAGAAGTCGATTTTCGAGGTCGGTGGTGAAGAGGATCACGATGCAGCCAAATCCGGCAGCAGCGTCGAAGGAAATGCGAGCACAGGACGTCCATCAATACGAAACGAGAATGAAGATTACTACCAACGAATGGAGCAACTGGAGAATCGACTGAACCAGCTGGTGAGAGCTCTAGATTCCAATCAACCACTCGGTGGAACCAACACGGTGGAACCGGTACCATGCGAGGCTGACCATAGCTGGAATACCGGCAATGTAAACGTGGGAGCATCAACCAGTGCAACCAATGTTCGTTGGGAAAACATTCAGCCATTCCCTAACGATGTTCCGGCCAACAGGATGTGGGAGCAGTGGACGCGATTTATCGACCGATTTGAGATCGCTGCATCCCTTTCCAACATCAACGACCCGGTGAAGCGTGCACAGATCCTGTTCCTCTCGATGGGGGAAAAATTGCAAGGAATAGCCAGAGCAGCTAGACTTCGGCCAAGCTTGGAGGAACCCGACTGCTACAACATTTTCGTGAAGAATATTGCAACTTACCTACGTTCAATGGTGGACGTAACAGCCGAACACGAAGCGTTCACTAACCTGAAACAAGGATCGGAGGAACCGACGATCACTTTTCATGCCCGCTTGATGGAGAAAGTCCGTCTCTGTGGATACAGTAGCGTCGATCAGAATCGGTTCGTTCGCGCACAGTTGTTGAAGGGGATGCGGAACAAAGAGTTGGTGAAGGCGGCCAGGACTTTTGGATATGAGACCCTTTTCATCGTCCAATCCGCCACCCGCGAAGAAGCATATACGGCCGAAACAGCTCAAGCGGAGCCTTCACATGCTCTTGCGGTGAGTCGGAATCATCCACGGACATCTGGTGAAACACAACAATGGAAGCGGAAGCACGAATCAACGGCCGATAAGTGGAAGCATGCGAAGAAGCGCGAGACGGATGAGATTAGGAATCGAGGATTAGGACGGCGGTCGCGTTGCCCGAAGTGCAACCGTCTTTTCCATAAATTTGGATCGTGCCCGGCAATTAACAGCAACTGCAATACTTGTGGCGAGCGGGGGCATTTCGCTATAGTATGTCGGAGAAAGAATGCCAACCATCTCCAAGTTGAACGAAAGCTCGCGTCCAGATGGGAAAGTGACGAAGAAGACAGAAAGGTATACCCTCGTGAGAATTAATATTGAGTTTTGTCTCCTATTTTTCTTCTCTTTTTTTTTCTCAACAATTACTGAATACAATGTGACATTTCTGAAATCATAAAAGTGTTTTTTTTTATTGACATTGCACTTCCAGGAAATAAACACGATCTCGCTGGCAGACACACTCATCGATTGCCGAGTAGGATCCTCATATCCGATTCGGTTTTTGATAGATTCGGGGTCAGACGTGAACACGATTGGTGGAGATGACTGGGTGTACCTGAGACAAGAGCTTGAGACAGGTAAAGCAAAACTGGAGCTCGTTCCAGTGTCAAACGGCAATGACCTGATATCTTACGCGTCCTGCAAACCGATTTCTGTACAATGCGCATTCAAAGCTGAAATCGAGGTAGTGGGGTGTGACAAACCATCGATTATGGCTATGTTTTATGTCGTTCATCAAGGCTCTCGTTCTCTATTGGGTCGTTCTACGGCAAGTGATCTAAGGCTGCTACAAGTAGGTGCAAGTGTCAATCGATGTGAGAAAATGGAGCAAATTGCAAAGTTTCCCAAAGTACCGGATGTTCTGGTGAAATTCAGCGTTGATCCATCCGTACCGCCGACTAAAAACGCGTACTACAATGTCCCTGCAGCCTATAGGGAAAGCGCAAGGACCAGGCTTTCGGATATGGAAGATCGTGGCATCATTGAGCGTGTGACATCGGCCCCCGACTGGATTAGCGGTATGTCGGCAGTGGCGAAGGGTAAAAATGATTTCAGGTTGGTCATTAACATGCGGGCACCCAACCGCGCAATTAAAAGGGAATACTATCGCTTGCCTACGCTGGATGAGATGAGAATTAAACTACACGGGGCAAAGTACTTCTCGAAACTGGATTTGTCAAATGCGTTTTACCATTTGGAACTCCATGAGCAGTCCAGAGACCTTACGACTTTCCTGACGGAAAGTGGTATGTTCCGATTTACCCGTTTGATGTTCGGGGTAAATTGTGCCCCGGAAATTTTCCAGCGTGAGATGTCAAGAATGCTTAGTGGGGTGAAAAACATCATTGTATACATTGATGACATTCTCATGTTTGCGGATAGCTTGGATCAGCTTCATAAAACGGTGTCCCAGGTGTTGAGAGTTCTAAGAGAAAACAATTTGACCCTGAATCTTGACAAATGCGAATTCGATAACACTCGGATTAGGTGGCTGGGGCACGAACTTAGCGAAAATGGATTCAACATTGACGAGGAAAAAATTAAGGATATCCGAAGATTCAGGCAACCAAACACGCTATCCGAGCTACGAAGTTTTCTGGGGCTAGCATCCTTCGTGAGCCCTTATATTGAGGGCTTTGCAAACATCGCGAGTCCATTGTGGGCACTCACCAACATTTCTAATGCTTGGATCTGGGGTGAAGAACAGTCAAAAGCCTTTGAAAATTTGAAGGATCAAATTGTTCGATGTGCTACGTCTCTTGGCTACTTTTCGGAACAAGACAGAACTATCCTATATACGGACGCCTCTCCTTACGCCTTAGGAGCGGTACTCATCCAAGAAGACAACAGGAAGCCCCCACGGATTATAAGTTTCGCATCGAAAGCCTTGACAACGACTGAGAAAAAGTATCCTCAAAACCAGCGCGAAGCTCTTGCCGCTGTTTGGGCAGTGGAGCATTTTGCGTATTTCCTACTAGGACGACCCTTTACTCTCCGCACCGATGCGCAAGGTTTTACGTTTATATTAAACAGATCACGTGAGGATTCTAAGCGAGCATTGAATCGGGCAGATGGATGGGCTCTCAGACTCAGTCCATATAGTTTTGATGTTGAATATGTTCGAGGACGAGAGAACATAGCGGATCCATCATCTCGGCTCTATGACGGAGAAGATGGACCATTCGAAGAAGGTGTTAGTCCTTGGGAGCTTGCTTCTCTTGAAGTGAATAAAGTCGGATTTTTGACCGAGATGGAGATTGAAAATGCCACAAGCCAGGATAAGCAGCTTACGGAGGTGGTAGATGCTCTGGAAACGGACGTTTGGCCAGCGCATCTAAAGCAATTTCAAGTGCTAGGCAGCGACTTGACCATGCGCGATGGAATGCTGAGCAAAATGGGTTGTGCAGTGATACCCGAATGCCTACGCCAGAAAACCCTGGCGGTTGCTCACGAGGGCCATCCATCGACAGCAAAATTTAAGAGCATTTTGAGAGAGCGTGTTTGGTGGCCCGGTATGACGAAGGATGCAGAGGCATGGATGACATCATGTGCCGTTTGTGCAACCAACGGCAGGCCCGAACGGCCCACTCCCATGGCTCGAGTTTTCGCACCAAAAGCGGTGTGGGAGACCATTGGCTTGGATTTCAACGGCCCCTATGCGAAATTCGGAGGTATCTCGATTCTAGTCATTGTGGATTATCGTTCTAGATATGTGATCGCCAAGCCCGTGAGATCTACGAGCTTCGAGCATACCCGAAAAATTTTGGAAGAAGTCTTTGAGAAGGAAGGCTATCCGAAGAACATGAAATCGGACAATGGCCCCCCCTTTAATGGGGATGACTACAGGGAGTACTGCCTGAAGCGTGGCATCAATGCCACCTTTTCCACGCCGTTATATCCCCAACAAAACGGTTTAGCAGAGAGTTGCATGAAGTTGGTGAATAAGGCAATGAGTGCTGCATCGGCAAGCGGAAAAGGCTATGGAGAAGAATTGACTGCAGCGGTTCATGCTTATAACGCAGCTGCCCACTCCGTGACGGGCGTACCACCGGAGGAAGTGATGACGGGTCGGAAGATCAAACGTGGGCTTCCTCTGCTGTGCCGTGGAAAGGCCACCTTCGACGACAACCTGCTCAACGCAAAGGATATGAAATTAAAAATCGAGGCGAAGATACGAGAAGACACAAAACGAGGGGCTCGTCGATGCCGTATTAAACTCGGAGACACGGTTGTTGTAGAGCGTCAGTCTCGATCAAAAGGAGAATCGCGGTTTGATCCCCGCAAGTATACGGTTACAGATGAACGAAACGGAATGCTTGTTTTGACCGATGAAAACGGCCAGATTTTAAAGAGACACGTGTCACAGACGAAGCAAGTCTACGACTGGAAGGACCCTGAAGAAGTCGTTCGCTCGGAATATCCCAAAGATTGCCGCATTGCTCAGGAAGTTATTCCAGCTTCTTCGCAGACAGAAAGCCCACAACCTGGCGTGACTGCGCGTCCGGTTCGAGCAAGAAGAATGCCGGAGTATTTGAAGAACTACGTAAGTGTTTTGGAAGAAGAATAAGGATAACACTGACTTTGTTTATTTTTGTCTGATCTTTGCTGAATAAATGAGGAAAAGTCTGTTAGTTTTTCGAATGTTTTTGCTTGCATCCCTGGATTTACCTTTTTTTTGGAAGAGGGGTGATGTGTGGGGTCGTGATTATTATTTGACAGTTCGCATGATTGCAGCTGTAATCCTCTGCTTATTTACATTTGGTCCCACCCTATATATACCGTAGCCATGCTACACAGCCCTACTCAACTCTATACAACTTGTGCCTTGCCCGCCTCGCTGTTCGCCCAACCCCGCATCCGCTCACTTGACCGCGCAGCACTGAGCTCCGGCCCCCTTTCGTATCTTGGCAGCTGTGAAGGTAAGACGTGCGTCCCGTCGTGAAGGGGAAAACCTAGGGCAAAATGGCTGGTCTCCGACAGCGTAAATTGCACAAGAAGCGTCTCTTTATAAGGAACCACAAGGGATAAGCTCTGCTTTGGCCTGATTGAGCATCCTGTCACTAGGCTCGGAACGTGTTGGAGTGGTACCGAGCAAACGGGGTCAATGTTGCGCCAAAAGATATGAACCCACCAAATTCACCGGGTCTTCGGCCATTTGAAAATTTCTTGGCAATAATGAAGACGGAATTTCGCAAACAACCCGAAATTATAAAAACAAAGCTGGAGTTGAAGAAAATTTGGATATAAACAACAAAAACACTGGGAAAATCAGTTGTACAAAATTTGATGGCTAGAGTGAAAAGGATGGTGCAGGCATTCGGGATGGGAGATGAAATTGAATAACACAAAGTTTGGAAATTATAACTCATTAATAGTTTTCATTCCCTGAAAATTTCTAGAAAATCCGATAATTGAGTTGGTTGGAAATGCTATCTATCATGAAGCTTTAGTGTGATAATTTATTAGCTATAATGGTCTTAGAAGAGGGTAGGTAGATAGTTCCGTTAGAGTACGGCAGTATGAAAATTGAACTGCTTGTAGATTTGAAGACAGCCTAGGGTCTGTAATCAGATTACAGCTCAAGGATTCGGATCTTCAGAATGAACTTTCTATGGCCCCCATGGTCCATATGCATGTCACAATCGTTAATTAATAACTGTCTTACAACTGCAAGTGTTTTCGACCCAAGTCGAGGAACTATATGATCAATTGCATAATTTAGCACTTTCCGGTTATTCAGGGAGAATAGCCAAGTCAACAACAATGGTTGTTGGTTGCGCTACTATAACGAGCCCGTCAAGCTCCACGTGCCCCACAATATCGACGTAGATGACCGAATCCAACCACACCCATCAGAAGTACGGAGGATTATGCGAATACGGGCGATAGGAAGGTCTGCTAGATAAACATCTATTGTCAGGACTTTTTAATCTGTTCACCTTTTCCTAAAAACAACAACATACAGCGAGACAAAGCGAGAATTGATTCTGCAGTGAACGGCAGCATACTTTTCTAGTGATTAAAACTACCTTAACATTAGATTTTCTATCGTTTGTACCTTTAAACTACTTACTATCTAACGGCTAATAGTAAAGTTTATTATGCTAAAAGATTAGAACTGTTAATCCCTAGATACATTTGTTGAAGTAAAAAACTAGCTTAGTGAACTAATAAGCAAACAGTTTGCGGATTGACAATAGCAGACAAGAGAAATTGAATCCTCTGTGTCTGTACAGTAGAGTCCCTATTGGAGACAAATATTGAATGCCATGCCGTACCTTTGACGAACATTAAGACAACAACACAGTTGTGTGGTAGTAAACGCTATAGTAAGAATTCTAAACCTATCTAAATTTAGTCTTAAAGCTAATATGTTTCAAAATCAACAGGAATTCGGAAATAAAATATTCACAAAATAGAGGACTTTCTACTAGGTAAGAGCACTACTTCGTCGTAATCGCCTATTTCCGTTCTATCAAGCAGAAATCATCAATAATATCAATGATTTCACCATGCATATAACAATAATACGTTTGTTCTGATCCGTTAGTTCATAAGACACAACATGAAGCCTATTACAGCGCATTGTATGAATATTTACACTCATTGTTTTCAAAACAAAAGAAGCGCTCCTAGGAAAACCATTCTTTCTACCATCATCCGTAGGACGAAGAAAATCTAATGGCGTTTCAATGCGTTAGGATGGAATTGAAACTCTTAGGACGAATTTAGAATCAAGAAGCAGTGTTAGATTTTTAATAATATCTCAACATTGTTAGACTGTTTATCTAATCCAACGGTACGGATAGAAAGGTGAATAAATTTAAAAGTTATCTTTGATGAAAACATTCCATGTTTTGCTCAAACCCTTTCAAAAAAGAGAAGTATAGTGCGGGATGTGCTTAGTAGGACGGAAATTAGATCAAAAACCCTTCCACCCAACATCTTACAAAATTTTATAAGAACATCGAGGATGTCATGCAAATCAACCAGCCCCGGGTCAAAATTGAGTTCTGCCTGTTCTCTGGTAATGTTGACATTGCCAATCCTATGAAGGCTCATGTAAAGGGAGTCAAACCCAAAATAAAGGCTGGTGCCAATATAAATGTCAAACCCGTCCGGTCAACGAATATCGCCATAAACGCGAGACCCAACGTGCGACTATATGTGAACCAACGCATTGACATAACTCATTACAGTCATTTTGACTTGTGTAGTGAACGTGATACTAGTAGAATGGTGCAGTGTGATGGTTGCGATAAGTGGTATCATTTGTCTTGTGTGGAAGTGACTGGTGGCGTAGAAATCCAAAGTTCGATATGTCCAAAGTGTCCATATATGCATTTCGGTACCAGTAATCAAGTGGAGTAAAAACCAATACCCCAACAGGCTCAACCGGTAGATCCACCCCAAACGTTTTCAGCTCAAGGAAGTCCACTGGAAAGTCCAGCAGCAGTCGGAGTAATCAACGGAAGGTCGATCGACTGTTGCAGAAGCTAGAAGAGCAGAAGCTAGAAGAGCAGAAGCAGTTGGAGCAGAAATTTTTGGATGAAAAATACCGAATTTTGGACGAAGAGGATGACAGCGATGAAACTGTGGTTAATGATGATGACGTGGGATCCAAAGAAATTTCCAAAGTACGAAGATGGCTGAGCGATACCGATAATTGTGTTGAAGATTATGACTCAGGGCTAGTTGAAGAAGACATGAACGACGATCAGTTGCAGCCCATCGATCAACAGGCACCGATTGCTAAGCAGGCAGAACCGCAATCAACTCTAAACGGTTTTGCCCCCAATCAACGGTCGACACCTCAAGAGACGGTTCTTATGGATTCTAGAATGAGAAGCCGAGTACTTCAAGCTCCAATTCAAACACCAATTCCCGACGGCCTGTTCCGCCAACCACCGGCACCAGTTCCAGAGAAGCAATTTAATCAGATTGCTGTTTCAAATGATCAGTTATATCGGCCACCAGCACTTATTTCAGAAGGTCTGTTTCGAAGGCCCCCACCTACTGTTCCAGAAAACCAGTTCTACCGATCCCATGTTCCACGGCCAGCTCCAGCGACAGGAAACCAGTTCCTCCAGCCGCAAGCTCCTCGAGCTGCTTCAGCGCAAAACTACCAGCGACAGAACCCTCGGTCGGTTCCAAATCAAAGAGTCCAATTCCATAATTCGACAGCTCCTCAAGTAACTACAGCTTCAGGAATCCAGGGTACTCGACTGGTAGCTGCTGCGCCAAATAGCGATTTCTGCCTGAACCGTCATTAACCACGGAAAACCAGTATCGAAATCCTTCAGTGCCAGCGAATTACATTCATCATGGAGATTCAACTTCACACCACAATTTCAGAAATCCTGATTCATAAGAATTCTAAACCTATCTATATTTAGTCTTAAAGCTAATATGTTTCAAAATCAACAGGAATTTTGTAATTAACTTCTAAATCCATTCGGAACGGAGTATTCACAAACTATAGGACTTTCTACTACCACCCAACAATGTTTTTTTAGTTTTTCCGGTGGTGTAGTGGTAAGCTTGATTGCCTCTCACCCCAGCAGGCCTGGGTTCAAACCCAGTCGGCACCGCCGAGATATTCTGAGGCATCACCTCTGATCACGCCATTTCCCCTAGAATTATTATATTTTCACTTTCTAAGAAAACGAGGTGCAACGGAATCATTTTTGCGTCGATTCAACTCTCAGGTTAAACGTTACCCGTTGTGAAAAGTCTCGCAATATCAAAGGAGTTTGTAATATCAATATCAAGCTAGATATTTTGCTCCAATATCACGCGTGATATGAAAGCGGAAAAATACCAATTTGCTAATGATCATGCCATCCCTGGAACGTGGTGCATTGATTAATCTAACTTCTGAGAATTTACTAAATCTTCTGAATCTATACATATTACTGAGGCTGGCAGGCGCCACTGAAACGACAATTTCAAGCATCCTTCACTTTGACCCCGCTGAGCTTGTTAGTCGTTCCCGGAAACTAGAAAATGCTTTCACTCGTAAAAATGAAACGTACAGATCACTCCAATGCAGATGACGCGATAAATTGCTAGCAATGTAAAAACTACTCACAACTCGAATGCAATTTGGAAATCCAAGCAAAAGCCACCGGGCAGCAATCTCCCGCTCGCTTGAACTGGCATAAAACAATTTTGTATCATATCGTTAAATTGATAAAATCAGAAAGACGACTTCTCTCCCATTTTCCCATCAAAGAACGGTGAAGCAAACTCCGAGCACCAAACGTTGTCCTCCATCCCAATCGTCCCATTTGCGCTTTTTATCACTCTCTGTCCCTCATGCTCCAGAACCAGTAGGTAGGTACCTATCTTGTGTGCTGCTGTCTAGGACATTCCGGACTTATTTTTCCGCTCCTGCCATGACCCTAGTTTATGGCATTGCTGTACTTTTTTCCCCCTATCATTCTGCTTCAAACACCACTATCTCTTATTTGCTTGCTTCATCGTCGGCTTCGTCGTCTTCGGGGGATGGCAATTTCTTTCAGATTAATCGTTTTATGGCACTTTTCTAATTAGACACAACAAGAAAAAACGACCAGGAAAAAGAAATGGCTCCCCAGCAGACAAGCAATTTTATCGTTTCATGGGGATCCTGAAACTGCTTCCCTCTTCCCCTCGCCGCTAGCTAGCCGAACGATCGCAGTTTTTCCCATAATAGTCAAACTCCGATGCTGCTGCTGCTTGGGTAGAGGGGTTGCGTTCAGGACCCGAATTTTTATTGCTTCACAATTTTGACGTCAATCTTGAAGCACACCGCAACGCCCGACTCCGAGTGCAGTTGAAATTCGATGTTGGCTTTAACGTTGGAAATCGGTGACTCCACGGGGACATCGCCGGCTGCCTCGACGCTTTGATTCGCGGCCAGGGGGCATTTGGCGTTGGTCAGCTTCTTGCAGCCGTCGCGGTGCTCTTCGGGAAGCTCGTACGGGATGACCAGGCCGGCGACCCGGGCGATAACTTTTGCGGTCAGGGTTTTGGTGGCCGAAGCTGGAAGAAATTCGGGGAAAGGTTTTGATTATTGGCAGTGGTGGAGTGATTGTTTAATCAATCATTAATGCAGACATTTTTTTTTTCTTGAAGACAGATTTCTGTTTTTGAGGGTTGTAATTTTCGAATAAGCTATGGGAAATGACTTTTAACACATATTTGATGATGATTCCAATTTTATCATTAAGGGAAAGTTTGCTGTTGTTAGACTAATTTTTTTTTTCGGCACGTTTTAATTTTTCTAAAATTTTTAGGAAAAATTATTACGCATTCAAGAAAATTTGTTTTTTCCTTAGATTTCTAGAAAATTTAACATGCAATTTTTTTTTTATTTCATCATGAAAAAAATATCAGACTCTCAGCCAAACCAAAAGGTCGATGATTTGTGAATTTTTCAGGCCTAACTTTATGCCATCATGACCTGTAAAAAATGTTTTTGCACGTGATTTTTTTTAATTAGAAAAAATGTGATGATTTTAGATTTTTGATATCTTTTCCAATATTTTTAGATAAATCAAAACGTTATTATTGTTTCCCCCTTAGAGCTAATGTTAGTAAAATGTTGGAATATTAATTTGTCATTAGGCCAAATGTTACTAGTTTTAACATAATTAGGCTGCATGGGCTACTAAATTGGCTTTGAGAAATCAATTGAGAGATTCTATAAGAACGCATAGTGAATACAAATGTTGTACTTGATTTCGGCATTTTATGAAAATTTCAATGGAATTCACCTCAGGCTTGCCAAAGCATTCTCCGAAAATTCTCTAGGAATTCATCTATGGAATTTTTCCTGAGGATTCACTGGATAATCTCCTCAAATTACATTGAAACTATTCTGAGAATGCTATTCCTTTGGAGTTCTACTCCGAATTCTCTAGGCACTTTCTTTATAATCCCCCTGCAATGCTCTTCAGAAAGGCTTAAAAAATATGCTTTTTGATTCTCTGTGAATATCTTTAGAACACTCCAACCAATTTCTGGAATTTCCCTCAGAGTTCTATTGAATCTATTTTCTTTATAAGTAACGTTTTTAATAACTTTTAAATTATTATCGGTAACCGCTTGGAGTTCTCCTCCCCGTTTTGATTGATTGATTGATGGATAGATTGATAACAATTTAAGAGTTTTTTTTCCGATGACTGGAAAAGTATGAAAAGTCATCCAAAGAGACTTTTCTACGAGAAATATAACGTTGGCATAGTGTTACAGAGCTGTTAACACAGATAATTATATACATTTAAAATTATATCATGATCAGTGTCAGAGTGGATCGAAACACAAAAGATCGATTCGTTTGGTTTGATTAATCTTTTTTTTTTTTGAATCGATCACAAATACGAAAAAAAATCTACTGGATCGATCCTTTTCATTCGATTTTTGTTTCGATCCAGCACATTTTCATTTGTAATTTAATATTGACCTGTACCTGTAATCTTCAGCTCACGTTCGGGCAGTTAAATTTGTGTCTGAGCAGATCTATAGTACCGAAACAGTATACGATGATTGCACACATTTGTCCCACCACCAAAACCAACCGGAGGCCTGTGGGATATTCATGACGAAACGGTAAAGAAAGTTTTTATTCTACATATCAACAAACATTCACTTCTTATGACATATTTTAGGTTCATCAGTCCTCTGCTATGTCAGAACTGGATCACCATGGGGGCATATCGGCAGAATTACAAAATTAATTGCATCACCCTTTTTTCCCACGTTATGTCGATCCTTTTCGAGCATTGAAGAAAATCCGTAGAGTATATCCCCATTAGACTGGCCCGTAAAAATAAAAGTTCTAATTTTCCACGGGCCAACCTCTAGATTTGTGCCTTTAGGTGATAAAACAATTCTTTGAAAGTTTTAGCTCATTTGGTTGTAGGATGAGCTGGCGCTTTTAGTTTGAATTTTGTATTGGGAATTTCATGAAAAAATGACACATCTACACTCTATCGATCATACAAAATCTTCCTTATTCTCGATTTGATTCAGATTTTCAAAACTTGTAGTTCAGTTAATAAGTAACATCTTTACTGAAGATTTCATTATGAATCCAGTTAGTTTTATGGAGATATTCGCTTGTGAATGTATATGAGCATTTTGTATATGAAAATTTCAGCCAAATATCCTATATGAACATTAAACCAAAAGCGCCAGCCCGTGTAAAGTCAAAAAGAGCTGAAACATTCAGACAGTGATTATCGTCCCAAAAGACACGATCCTGAATGTTGGCCTGTGGAATATATGAACTTTTGTTTTTAGTGGTTATCTAGTTGATACGTTGCAGCAGCTGCCTGTATTTTATTGCATTATACGAGCAGTATGCACATAATTAATTAATATCTCCATAATACTGACTTGAATCATGATGTTGTCTTTTGAAAAGTTGATCCTTAAAGTTTAAGCTACGAATGCTGAAATTCTGAGCTTAATCGGGTTTGCTGGACCAGTTCTATGCACGAAAGAGTGAAGGAATAATATTTCTCCATACATTTCAACCAATATCCCCACATGAATTTTAAATCAAAAGCGCCAGCTCGTGTTACATCCGAATGAGTTGAAATTTTCAGAGAGTGGTTTTCTCACCTAATGGCACAAACCTAGGGGTTGGCTCGTTGAAAAAACCAATACAAATTTCCCTTATATAAATGTGGGTTAGTCTAATCCCCATGTAAACCCCATTGCTCAAAACTATTTATCAAGAATGTTAACAAGTATTTCGTCAGTGAGGCTATTATTCAAAACTGGTAAAACCACTCAGAATCGATATCGGCTCAACGCAAAACGCATGGCTCAATTAGCTTTCTTGAGATCCCTCTCGGATGAGTTTTGGGATACCTGAATTAAGTACTTTCCGTACTTACCTGCTTTTGCACTCCGACCATCTTATCGTTTTGTTTCATGTGTTAATCGTTCGTTTTTTTAATCTTTCATTTAATACTAATAAAACGAATATTTTAACCAACTTACCTAATCAAGTATGCTGAGCAAAAACTTCCATATGTCAAATGAAACGAAAATAGTTATTTACTATATTCTCACGTAGACCATCCGATAAAGAGTTCGATCCGCGGTACACGGTAAAGACCATAAAGCATGGAAGTGGTAGCATCATGGACTATTATAGGTGACATTTCATAACAAGATAGCTAATGTAACGTAAGATCAACTCTAGACTAAACTTGGCTTTATTTGCACCAACTTTCCTATAATCCGTTATATTTGAAACATTGTTGTCACTTTGAAAAATGAATCGATTCAAAAATATCGATTCAAACTGATTGATTAAATCGGTGAATCGATTATTTAAAACAAAAATGAATCGATTCGTGCCTCAAGATCGCCCAATGCTAGTCAGGGCTGTATCCATGTCATCAGTAAGTTTGTTCTAGGGTCAATTTCTCAGAATTCACATCCATAAATATCCCTGGAATTCTCTTCCGATTTTCTTGAGTATTTACTTTCATTACTTCTTACAAGTTTTTGAAATACTTCTTACCTTGATATTAACAGATTTTCTGACAAACTATCCTCAATGCTGTAGTCTAGCACGGTCGTACACGGTCGAGAATAGCTAGCTTTTTTCGGAAATCATAATTTAAAATTTTCCCGAGTAGCACATTTCCGTTAGTAAAAGTTGCAGCAACTTGTTTATGACTGAAATAAGTCGTAAAGAAGTTTCTACAACCGATATATGACAGGCGTGCTACTAGGGTTATATCGTCTCCTTAATGTTACAACTTGGTTACATGAAATTTGGCGATTTTGAGTTGATGTCATGTCAAGCGCTTGTCTTAATTAATAACTGTGGGAGTGAACAGTTATTTTTTTTTCTGCCATAAGAAATTAAAACAACAATGTCGTCTCAGTGGCTTTGTGAAGGCGAGCTACTTTATCTCATTAGAAATAATGGGTTATTGACGGTTTAATCCTTAGACTATCAAAATTTTCACGAGCTCTTCTATAGGATGTGAGTTTTCAAATATATTCATTGTCAGATAAAGCTTTAAAGATTCTTATTCAAAAACTATATTTTCTTGTTCTTGTTCTTGTTCTTCTTATTATTATTCTTATTCCTAGCTTTGACGCTCTTACGCAAGCTTATACCTATTCTCAACAGTTACTTATGCCATACCCAAGTAACACTTGCAACATCTTGCATGAAAAAAAAATCCAGTTGTTAATAAGTTATATACTAATTGCTTTTAAGACATCCTGTTTAAGACGCGTTGTATTGTTGTTTGTGAAGTATTCAACCTTTCCGACAAGCAATTTTTATCTTGAATTTCTAATTTGATATTGCATGTCTCAATTACCAGTTTATAACACATTTATAACTGATTGTTTTTGATGCAAATTTGCTAGCCTTATGTACAACATGTTTTCATATGTCATTATTAGAAACATGAATACAACTGAGATATAACTTATTGATAACATGTTATTAATAAGTTATATCTCAGTTGTACTAATGTTTCCAAAAATGACATGAAAACATGTTGTATATAAGACTAGCAAGTTTTCATCAAAAACAATCAGTTATAAAAGTGTTATAAATAGGCAATTGAGAGTTACCATACCTAATTATAACTTCAATTTATGATACAAGTAATATTCTTGTTTTTCGTGTTATATACATGTTTTGCTAACAATTATGAAATTTCTCAATGCATTCTACAAACTGCACTACAATATGGCTGACCAATGAAGCAATGTATAGAATCATTTAAAACATGTATTTTGTGCTTTCAACATCACATGTACGTTTTGTAAAAGAGAAAAGCAAGATTAAGAAGAAAGTTGATATTCTATTTGTTTTTGTTTTTGGAAATTTGGGAAATTTTATCCAGGATTTTTTATGCAATTCAATTTATTATATTCAGCTTTTTCTAAGAGCCAATGAGTTTTTTAGAAGTAGAATGTATAGAATTACCATAAATTTGCATCCGCATAAATGTTTGCAGTACGGAATCTCAGTTAAGGCACTTTATTCGCATGATAAAATTCCTCAGAAGAATAACTTAAGTGTAAAATGATGATAAACAAATTCCATTCGTAGGAAGGATGAAATTAATTTACAACATGTCTAATACAGTAGATTGCGTTATAGACATTAATAAGTTGCGCAAGTCAAGCAAATGTTATATATAGATCCCTCCTTTTGCGCTTTTATCGGTATAAATAAGTTGTAAAGGGTGATACGGTCAAAATTTGGTCAATATCAACTGGACGTATTTCTTTCAATTTTGCATTTAAAAAACCTGAACACCCCTCATTTTGAAGGTGTGTGTGTGTAGAATGTTGCTCCTATTTTGATTTTGGAATTCACTCTTCAGTTGTCAAAATGCCGTCCAAGCAAGAAGAGCAGCGTATCAAAATTTTGCTCGCGCATCGCGAAAATCCGAGCTACTCGCACGCAAAGTTGGCAAAATCGCTAAAAGTTGCCAAATCAACCGTTACAAATGTAATTAAAGTGTTTGGGGAACGTTTGTCGACAGCCAGGAAGTCTGGATCGGGGGGAAATCGAAAACCGGAAGCCGCTGAGACGACAAAGAGAGTTGCCGGTAGTTTCAAGCGAAACCCTAACCTCTCTCTCCGAGATGCCGCAAATAAGCTGGGTGTATCGTCTACAACCGTGCATCGAGCCAAAAAACGAGCCGGACTATCGACTTACAAGAAGGTAGTGACTCCAAATCGCGATGATAAACAAAATACGACGGCCAAAGCGCGATCCCGGAGGCTGTACACGACGATGCTGACGAAGTTTGACTGCGTGGTAATGGACGACGAAACCTACGTCAAAGCCGACTACAAGCAGCTTCCGGGACAGGAGTTTTATACGGCAAAAGGAAGGGGAAAGGTAGCAGATGTTTTCAAGCACATGAAACTGTCAAAGTTCGCAAAGAAATATCTGGTTTGGCAAGCCATCTGTACCTTTGGCTTGAAAAGCAGCATTTTCATAGCTTCCGGGACTGTCAACCAAGAAATTTACGTGAAAGAGTGTTTGAATAAACGTCTGCTGCCTTTCCTGAAGAAACCCGGTTGTTCCGTACTGTTTTGGCCGGATTTGGCATCTTGCCATTACGGTAAAAAGGCCATGGAGTGGTACGCCGCCAACAACGTGCAGGTGGTTCCCAAGGACAAGAACCCTCCCAACACGCCAGAGCTCCGCCCAATTGAGAAATACTGGGCTATTGTCAAGCGGAACCTAAAGAAGACCAAAAAAACTGCTAAGGGCGAGCAGCAGTTCAAGGCAAACTGGCTTTCTCCGGCGAAGAAGGTGGACAAGGTGGCTGTACAAAATCTGATGGCAGGGGTCAAGCGTAAGGCCCGGCAATTCGGATTTGGAAAAGCGGAAGCCTAACTGAATATTTTTCCTGAATTTTATACTAATTGAACTTGAAAAAGAAATTTAATTTGATTTTTTAAATAAACGATTTCACCGATTTACACGCGTTTTCCCTTGACCAAATTTTGACCGTATCACCCTTTATATGAGTGAATAGACGTAAATACCTACCGCTGATATTGTCATAAATTAGGTAATTAATCCCGTTTATGACAATTTGTGTTGCTTGGGTAATTAATCGAGAGGTATAACTGCTTTTGTAAACTGATAGAAGAATCAATGTGTTGTTTGTATGTGATATTTTGGAATTATTTACGAGAAATCAGCAATATTTGAAAGACTTTTATGCAAACCAATGCATCAATTTGTATAAAGTGTGGCAAGCACAATGATTTCACTCTATTACCAGGGAAGTCAAGAAAATTTCAACCATCTGAGAAATAAAACAGCGAAAAAGTATTTGATTTCTCTTAATTAATTTTGGCATTTAATTCCACTTATTTAATTTTGGTATCTATGACAGATACGTATTTCGACTACAATGTGCAGTCTTCATCAGTGTCATTTCCACTAAAGATTATCAAAATCTAACCCCCCTTAAATACTCATCCCCCTTCTCATCTACACATCTGGCAATTGAAACAAGCTGGGATGAAAGCGTACGAAGTGAAGAAATCTTTGGAAGTACAGAGACGACAGGAATTTTCATACGTCTCAGAAGAAGTCAGGCGGTGGAGTCCTCATAGCTCTTCCAGCCAATTTTAAATCAGAAATCATCTCTATAGCAAAATGTAATGAACTTGAGTATGTTTGGATAAAAAATCTCACATAGCAGGTGAAACACACGTGTTCGCTTTAATGTGCTCAAAAAAACACTTATGAAACATTCTTCCAAACTGCTGAACAAATTATATCTCAACTTCCTTTCCTCAAGTTCACATCTATGGAGACTTCAACCAACGCCATGCCGACTTCATTCTGGACTCTGAAAATGAAGGTATCTTACTCCCAGTCGTTACGGATAATGTAACATTGCAGTTCATTTTCGACAAAACTGGGAAAGGAATTTCTATTATATGCCCTTCGTAAATTAGGTTGGACATCATTTCCTCTTCCATCATATGAAGCACGCTGCATGCTTATAAACATACAAACATTAAAAGAGCGACGTGAATATGCAATGGTTTTGGTTGTAAACGATATCGTTTCGCAGCGCATTAACTCAGCAGAACTTTTATGAGAATTAAATCTTATCTTATCTTTAACTAAACTAAAATAATATTTTAACTCCATACGGAATCATTACTCGTTAGAAGTAAAAATAGAATAGCAGGCAATATATTCTTAAGAAAAACAAATTTGTATATGTATTTATACTGGTTTAATCGGTTGATGAAAATAAATAAACTAAACTAAATAAAAAAGTTTTAATTTTATACCTGTGATCTTGACATTCTTACATAGGGGATGAGTACTTAAGGGGGTTAGATTTTGATAACCTTTAGTGGGAATGACACTGATGAAGACTGCACATTGGGAATACCAAAATTAATTAAGTGGAATTAAATGGAAGACAACCTTTTTACCCTTCTTACAAAGAAGGGTATAGATATCACTTGAAAAACCGTCTATCGATCCGAGGGCCGGAGGGCCGAGTGTCATATACCATTCGACTCAGCTCGACGAGATCGGAACATGTCTGTGTGTGTGTGTACGTGTGTATGTGTGGATATGTGTATGTGTGTGTATATAACGAAATGAATGCGCTCACGTTTCTCAGCAACCGCTCAACCGATTTGGACAAACTTGGCGCCAAATGATAGGTCTTGGGGTCCCATTGAACGCTATTGAACGGTTTTGAAATCGGTGAACCGGTTCCGGAGATATGGCCGGAATAAGATCCGGTGAATATGGACCTTCACGCTGGATTTAACGGAAAACGTATTAAAACCATCATGCGACACATCAAATTACTACAGAATTCAAAAATAAGATCAATGCAAGTCGTGTTAAGTGTTCCAGACCACATTGGACACACTTGGACATGTTTCGGGTACCCCGGGGAAGTTGCTTGAATATGAATTGAATTAAAACCCATTAAATCACATTAAAATACGATGATAAGGTGATTGGTAGCCTCACCAAATAGACTACACCCGGATATATTCCGGGTACCCCCAGGCAGTGGCGTAGCGTCACTGGATGACACGGGGGTGGGGGGCTTGGTCACTGATAATGACAATAAAATAAATAAACTTGAATAAGTAAGAAGGGTCTGATCACACCATAGGTGGATAAATTCGGGTTTTTTATTTAAGCATTCCACTAACAACCCAATTTCATAACTTCCTATGAGAAATGAAAGATGCTATTACAGATTTGCTTGAAAAGTATACCGAATTTGTAATGTTTTGCCGCATGAACAGATTATATAATGGTGTTGTCAGAAGTTTTTTTTTATAATTTTGTAATTTTTGGTTAGCCAAATTTTTGAAAAAACATATATGGCGTGAAGGTCAAATTCAAAAATACTCATTTTGTAAAAGTTTGCCTGTAAGTTACTGTCCATTTGAGGTACTGCCATCACATTTGTTGTACGGGACATATACAGCCCAAGTAACATTGGAAGTTTTATCACGGTTTTAAAGCATGCTACAAGTCTAAATCATAGTCTGCAGAACCCTCATAAAACCTCAATTGCTACTTGGGAGAGGATGTATGCAATCCACACTGACATTTGCGAATGAAATTGTTTGGTTATCCTGTTGGCCCATAAAACTAGCATACCAACATCCTATAAAGCATTCAATGATGAATATTAAATGCAACAATGACGTTCAAGACCTGCACAAGATATCCAGCATTCCCAAGATCGTCTCAAACAAAACACTTACGATTGGTAAACTCTGCCTGGAACCGCAGGTTCTGCCCATTAACTATCTGACAAGGCGCCTTGGAGCATCCTTCGATCACCAGTTTATTCGGAACGGCTCCATTCTTGCACTTTTGTACCTCCAACTGCCCCAGCACAGCCGTAGCGAGCATGCAAACAACAACGGCAATCAGCGTCAATTTAATCTCCATCGTTCCAGTTGCTGTTCTGCCCGGAAAGCAAAAAAACTAGAAACACGTTCCGCTTTTCTCACGAACCGCAGTCAAAATCAAGAAAAATCGCAAACTTCTTCGCCGACTAAAATCAAGCAAAACACTGATTCAGCACCCTCCCGCAGAAGCTTCTTTTATCGTTTCTTTTCGCCACCCCAGAATGGACGACCATGTATGTTTTTTTTTTTCTTTGCTGCCGGGGTTTGTTATTGTGGTACTTGAAACTCGATTATTGGTAGAAAGTTCCGACCACCGCAGCGCAAATTAGTTGTTGCTGCAAGACGCGTGCTTCTTATCAGTTGCTGGCCACTTAATTGAGTGGCTCCCATCCGCATCGCACTGCACACCGCAGAGTTCCCGCAGAACAACACTTTCCACTCGAGAGAAGAAAACAGTCCGCCAACAAATAAAAGTTGTTTGTTAGTTTTTTTTCCGGTCACCCCCTCATAAACAGGTAGTTCTCGATGGATCGGTAAAGTGTGGGGTTTCTCCGCATGAATTGACCACAGCAGCACTCCCACACAAAAGAGTCCCACGTGCTCGGGATTTCCTGGCATTTTAAGAAGACTCTAGTTTTATTGGCTTAAGTTTTAGTTTTGAATACATTCCGTATTGATAGAAGCACTGTTCCCTCTAACAAAGCCAGATGGCGGGTTCGATTCTCGATCCAGTCGGAGAATTTTTTTTTTCGCGGCTTTTCGGGCACGGAGTATTATTGTGATTTCCACTCAATATACAAACAACAAATCTCGATTACTTTTTCAAAGGGACGTATCAGCTTTTGTAAACAATGCATTTCATCGTCGATTTGGCGTAACTGATAGCTTGCACACGTTTACCTACACCACTAGCAGGTAGGTATAAATTTCCTCTATCTGATGGTAGCGTTAGCAAGCGTGGGCGACCTACCGGTTACGCCAAATCGACGATCAAATGCATTGTTTACAAAAGCTCATACGTCCCTTTGAAAAAGCAATCGAGTAATACTCTATTCACCTCGGAGACGAACCAGCGTTCGGCTGAAAGTCTCCTTAATAAAGATAACTAACTAACTACTCTATTCATGCAATGAGAGACTTAGAAATTATCAATTGATAACTGTGCACCCAACTGGAAAGTTCTACTACAGATGTGCATGAAAAGTATGCAGAATTTTTCAGTATTTCGCGACAGTAATGTTTTAAATTTTTTTTGTAATTTGCATGTTAGCTTATTTTTCGAACAAGGTTTGTTTCTCCAAATGCAATGCATCTAGAGTACCATCTCGTGAAGGGTTTAAACACCCATGTTTTATGTAAAGGGCGAACACGAAATTATTGCGACACCGAAAATGTCATGCCAATTTTCTTATAATGTTTAGAATCAAACCAAAATTTTAGGGTAGTTTTATACATATATTTACTTCAAAAATCAAAAGAAAAGTTAATCGATGGAGCCTTGAGTGTAAAATTGAACGCATTTTCGCTTGATGCCCTCCATCAAAGTCTTTACAGTGTCATCCGGTACCAGTTTCTCAGTTTTTTTTTTCCATTTTCTTAACATGTGTTTCTCGTCTTTGACTGTCTTCTTGCTCTTCCGAAGTTCCCGCTTCATTATTGCCCAGTACTGCTCCACCGGGCGCAGCTCCGGACAGTTTGGCGGATTCATGTCCTTTGGAACAAAATGGACAGAATTGGCCTCATACCACTCCAGGACACTTTTAGAATAGTGGCATGATGCCAAATCTGGCCAAAATAGCGGAGCTTCGTCGTGCTGCTGCAAGAACGGCAAAAGGCGCTTCTCGAGGCACTCAGATTTGTAGATCTCGCCATTTACTGTGCCCTTTGTCACGAAAGGCTCACTCCTCAGTCCGCAAGAGCAGATGGCCTGCCAAATGAGAAAATTGGAGGCGAACTTCGACATTTTCTTCTTCTCAAATTTGTCGTCCACATCGAACTTGCTCTTGCCAGTGAAAAACTCCAACCCCGGAATTTGCTTAAAATCGGCTTTTATATACGTTTCGTCGTCCATCACACAGCAGCCATATTTTGTCAGTATCTTCTCGTAGAGCTTCCGTGCCCGAGTTTTAGCCATCGATTGTTGCCGCTCATCGCGGTTTGGGAAGTTCTATACCTTGTATGTATGTAGTCCAGCTCGCTTCTTTGCATTCTGGACGTAGCTCTGCGACATGCCGATCTTTTTAGCCAAATCACGGCTTGAGACGTTGGGATTTGCTTTAATCATCCGCTTCACCTTTCCCTCCGTCTTTTTGTTCTCCGGTCCCGGTTTTTTTCCAGCTCCTTTGCCGTGGTCCAACGTCAACCGCTCCTGGAACCGCTTCAACACTCTGGAGACGGTTGAATGGTGAATGTTCAACATTTTTCCCAACTGCCGGTGCGACAGGTCAGGAAATTCCAGGTGTTTGGAAAGAATTTGTTCTCTCAACTCGCGTTGGTTCACCTCCATTTTCGTTGAATCGAAAAACACGACTTCGAGTTTGACAGCATGTACACAATACACATCAATGAGAAAGTGTGCAAAATTTGGTTGATTTTTACCCAATGGTAAAAAAGTTATGCCCTGTTGAATGTGTCGCAATAATTTCGTGTTCGCCCTTTATTCGCTGTGAAGGATGATAGGAAATACAACTAACATTGAATGTAATACATTTTTCGTTTGCGTGTATGTATTATATAGTACTAAAACTGCTAGATTGTTCATTTCTTATGATAGAAAAACAATTATATTTCCTTTCTCACGTGACAGTCACGAAAAATGCTAGCCTAAATCACGATAATGGGATGGATTTTTAAGCATGTGCTTCATATGCACTTCAATTGTTTAACAAATATTTATAGTCATCAAATGATATCGAGTTAACTCACCAGACCCTGATTGTTTCAAATCGGCTACCTAATTAAACATTGATTAGCACTTGAATCGTCACTTACTTTCTCGTGCAGCACTTTTCTTCTACTATGCTTATGACGTTCCAATTGAAACTTGTACCTGTTCTATACATACACGCAAACCAAACATTTATTAAAGGCTGACTAAAAGTAAATTGGTACGCACAAAAAGACCTGCAATTCGTGATTCAATAAGTTTAAAAAGTTCATTAATGGTTGCTTTACAGTACTTTTATTAAAAACTTCAAAGCATTAGATGGTTACATTTCTCCAGTTCGAACGAAATCTCGAACCTTCCTCTTGATGGAGCCCATCAGCGCCCACACAGTGGAAACGGACACTCGATTTAAACTTGGGATGTCATCGTCAAGGATGTGACGAATGGTTCCGTTTCAGGCCACAACTGCAAATCACTTGCCAAATCATGGCCTTCTTCGCGAACTTGTCGGTAAACACGAACTTGAATCTTCCCGACACATCCCCACGTCCAGTAAAACTTTTGACCGGGAAGCTGCTAAAAATCGAGTTTGACGTATGTTTCGTTATCGATCAAAGTACAGCCCTTGTGTTTCATCAAAACACGGTCGTAGTTGTAGTATATATCCCTCACTTCGCATCTTATGCATTCGTCGTTTCGAAGCCGATCTTCGATGGCCACTACATAGGCACGGATCATATTCGTGTATTCGGAGCTTTCCGAAGCTCAAGTTCAATCCAATCTCGGTGCGTATCTGTCAATAAGCTATTCGTGTACGTCGACGCTCAGTGCTGCCAAATTCAATTAGCTGACTTTACACCAAATGAAGGTTAATTGATTTTTCTTTAATTACTACCATGTCACATATACTACATTCTTCCCCTTCTCTACTCTTTTTGATTAAAGTATATTTATTTATATCTATTTGTGTTTGGTGACTTCAACCTCCCGAGGATTTCATGAAAAAAAAACTCGCAACGGCTTCCTCTATCCTGATATGGATCACTCTGTCATCCATTCCAACGCTTCGCTCCTTCTGGACAATTACAGCTTAGCCACTATTTCTCAAATCAATCATGTTATTTACCAGAATAACCGCAGTTTGGATCTTTGTTTTGTAATCGCCCAGGACATAGCTCCTTTCTTATGTGAGGCGCCCACTCCTCTGGTGAGACTGGATCGGCAGCCGACTATGGTAGTATCGCCGAGTTACTCTCCAGTTTAGATTGGGACGACTTATTGGACACCGTTGACATTAAGTCCACCGCTCAAACTATTTCCAATGTCTTGGCATATAACATTGACAGACACGTTCCGAAAAAGATTCATCAGCGAATTTCGTCGACTGAAATCCAGAAAGAGAGCCGCTCTTAGGAAATTCACCAATCACCGCACACTATCCCTTCAACGTCACTATGTCAGGATCAATGACGAATACAAACGAGTTGCGAAACGGTGCTTTCTTCAGTATCGACGTGGATTGCAGAGAAAGCTTAAGTCACGTCCCAAGCAGTTTTGGAAGTTTGTCAACGAACAACTTCATGAAGCTGGTCTGCTGCTGATACATAACAGTAATGTGGCCTCATCTACGCAAGATATCTGTCAGCTGTACTCTGAAAAATTTGCTGGTATCTTCACGGTCGACAGACTGAGTGACGACCATGCCCAACTGGCTGTCAGTTACGTACCACTCTCTGGCCAAACCATGAGCAGAATTGATATCAATCCTGAGATGTTTTCCAGGGCTTCCTCGAAACTCAAGTCGTCGTAAAATCCGGGTCCTGACGGAATTCCATCGGCGTTCCTCAAAACGCACTTGGACAGTTTGTTGTCTCCACTGCTGCACTTTTTCAACGGTCCGTGGACGTCGGCGTTCAGTGCTGCCAAATTCAATTAGCTGACTTCACACCAAATGAAGGTTAATTGATTTTTCTTTAATTACTACCATGTCACATATACTACATTTTTCTTTAATTACTACCATGTCACATATACTATACATACACTAACAACAGGAACATTATGCTTCGGGTAGTAACAGTAAAATATTCTACGGAATTGAGATTTTCTGTACGGCTAGTGACCTCTTAATTGCGCGGCTAGGTCCCACATATAATCAAGCCATCCGTATTGCAGCTGGGCTCCTACCGTCCACTCCTGTGGACTCGGCATGTGTTGAATTCGGTGTCCTGCCTTTCTGGTACCAAGTTGTCGAGACCCTGGTAAGCAGAACAATAAGCTATTTGGA